TTAAAGCAGTGTTGTGGAACCAAGGTGAGTGAATTAAAATACTGATTAGCCGTGATCTAATTGTTGGAACAGACACTAGTTTAGTCCTGTCCCATACAATAGACTTTGATTTATTCATATGGTGTCTGTGACCATTGGATATTTCAAAGCATTTTATAGCCAATGAAATATTTTTGAAGTGTAGTCATTGTTGTAATGTTGAACATGTGGCAGTCAATTTGCTGTTTGTTGCAGTTTGCTGTGTACATTTTGACAACAGCCGGATAATCTGTTCTGATGATGCTGACCAAATATTAATCAGTACTCTGGAATAACTCCCGGCTGCTGCTTGGAAATAGTGCCATGGGATCTTTTCCATCTAACCCAGCTGACAGTTGGGGCCCCTGAGTTTTACTTGTCATAGGTTAAATATCTCACTTGTGTTATTCTCTTCATCGCAAGTTCAACAGTAGGTACTACCTGACTATTTCTGTACTCTGTTATACTTCTAAAATTTCACTGATAATTAAGTAGCACATGTCATCCCTTGCTAGACCCCTGGATTACTCCTGGCTGTCAAGACAGTTAATTTTTACTCTGCATAAGAAGTAGACAATAAATATCTATGACAAGAAAAAGACAGAAGCATTCACACTGATACCAATAAAGGTATTGCTGTCTTGTAGCTCTTTATCATATGATCTTTGGGTCACCATTGAGGAATTTAACTGGCCCAAGCATATGACTACTGGATCTATGAGAATTAATTTGAGGCCAGACACACTGCTGCAACAACTGGCTCAACTTATGAATTTTATCCTTTCGCCATCAAGCCAGATATACTGCCAGGATAAATATAAGACATAACTGCAGAATCCGTGTACAAGCTTGGCAATATCAAGCACAGAGCAGTTTCTTAATGTTTCTGAATGGAAAAAATAAATGCAGCTGCCAGAAAGTGTTAGAAATATCCAGCAGGGCAGGCAGCATCAATTATGATTCTTCCAAAGAAGGCGTCATATCAAACTCAAATGTGATGCTGCCAGACCTACTAAATCTCTCCAGCAATTTGAATTTTACTCCTTCATGCTTGCCCATATTCCCCTTTCTTGGGCAAGCTAGGCTTGCCTGATGAATGTGACCTTGACAGCATCAGCCACATCTGAAGAAAAGTATGTTTTACTTAAATATAATTTAAATGTAATTATTATATATAGTCACTGCCTACTTGTGTAGACCAAAAATTCAGACCACACAGAAAATATGCAGAAATGCATTAACTTGCTTAAGTGCCTTCAGAACGAACTATCAAGTTCCACCTGCCTGATTGATAAGGGGGAAGAACACCTTTCTTCCAACCCCCAGAGGTATTGCAGGACTGGAGTTTAATATGATAAATCTCTTAACTGACATACTGCCCATTGCTTATCCAGTGGGGATCTCACTTTTCATTATGGCTTTAATTTGCATGAATATCTGTAACTAAGGGAAAGGAAGCCAAACCCCAAGAATCAGGCTAAACAATGAGCCAGACTATATAACAACCAGCCAAAGGATCCTGGAATACCTAAAACTTACTTGGATCCAGTGTATTACTAAGGTCTTAGTCCACTGTCCTACTGCATCTGTCCTTCTGGATCAAACTTGTTTCTCTCATTTTATTGTAATGTTAAATAGAAATTGAGTCACTCATTAAATCGGGATCAGAAGCGAACCGATTTAAAGGCTACGCGATGTTTAACTGATCTTTTTTGATTTTCAATTTTGCACTTTATTGTGGGTTGTTGTAAAGTATGCCCTTCGTTACAATATGCTGAAAATTCGGCTGCCTTTGGCTACATGTTGCGTCCTTCACGTTAACATTCTCCAGAACTGTAAGGAGCAAAAAGAGACTTCTCCCTTTGTTTAAAATTATCTCTTAACAGAGATTGTAATAATCTTATTAAAATCATTAGTTTTGAAAAAGAAATCTGTTGACATATTAGAGATCATCCATACAGTGATGTTTAAATGGCTAGCCTAAAGCAAATAGAGGGATAACATTGAAAGCAGGCATAGTGAGTAATGTGCTTAGCTGCGTATTTGTGGAATAACTAGATTATATGTATTTATGCAAACATACCATGCCGGCGGGGGGAAGAAATTCTCACTTAAAGCCATACACTTCTTTCCTCCAGTGATACTCTTTGTAACCATAAGTGTTTCTCCCACAATATGTGGAACAGCAAAATCTGTAATCATAGAATTGTCATGGCACAGAAGGAGGCCATTCAGTCCATCATGCCACTGCTGATTCTTCAAACTAGCATCATTACCTAGTGCCGATTTGCTTTTTCCCCAGAACTCTATCCAAATAATCATCCAGATGCCGCCTTGAATGCCTCAATTGAACCTGCTTCTCCCACATTTCCAGGCAGTGTGTTCTGTACCCTAACTACTTGTTGTGTGAAAAGTGTTTTTTTTTCTCTCTCTCTCTCTCGCATTGCCCTTGCTTCTTTTGCACATCACATTAAATCTATTTCCACTCATTCTTCCTTTTATGAGCAGGAACAGCTTCTCCACATCTACTGTATCCAGCCTCAATCAGATTGTCTTTCCAAGGAGAACAGTCCTAACTTCAATCTATCTACATAACTGTGTTTTTCATTCCTGGAACCATTCTGGTAAATTGATTCTGCAATGCATCCACAACTATACATAATACTCCAGCTGTTGCTTAGCAAGAATCCAGTGCAATTTCCACATCACCTTGCTCTTTTACTGCATACACCTATTAATAAAGCCGAGGGCATCATATACTTTGACTGCTCTCATGGTATAAAAGGAACACTAGTAATGTGGATGTAGCGTTGTCTGAGTGATCAGAAATTGAGTAATGGTCAATGGATACTTTTTGGGCTGGAGAATGTTTTGTAGTGGAATTCTTCAGGGGTCAGTTTTGGGATCCTTGCTTTTGCTGATGTATATTAATTAGCTGAATCTAGGTGTGCAGGGAGACATTAAACTTGGAAAAATTGTAAGCTGTGTGGAGAATGTGGAACTCCAAAAGGACACAAACAAGTTGGTAGGGTGGTTGGATAGCTGGCAGATGAGATTCAGTACAGAGAATTGTGATGTGATAACCAACAGCTTAGTAAAACAGTTTTTTTGACCAGCATCTTGAAAGTGGAGAGAGGGCTTGAGGAAGCCAATTCTAGAGCCTAAGCTTCAACTGGAGGCATGGCTGCTGGTAGTGGAGGAATCAAAGTTGGGTTGCATAAAAGATTGAGAAGATTGTGCTTTTAAAAAAAAAAGAGAAAAATATTAGTGAATACAAATGTAGGTCCCTTTTATAGTCAGAAATGGGTGACGTTCTACTCTAGAACAAAGATAGCAAACCAATTAAATACAAATTTTGGTTCTACCCTCAAAGGAGGACACACAAAATTAGGGAATGCAGGGACTAGTGATGGGGGAAGAACAGAAGGAACTCAATATCGGTAGGGAATGGTGTTGAGGATATTGATAGGATTAAAGGTCGATAAATCCCCAAGGTTTGATAATCTACGCCTGAGTACTTAAGGAAGTGACCCTCAATAGTGGATGCATTAGTCACTTTTCATATTTTTATGGATTCCAGAACAGTAGCCATGGTAATGTTAGGGTAGCTAATGTAATCCCATTATTGCAAAGGGAGGTAGAGAGAAAACGGACTAGTTACTGGTTACCCTGATGTCAATAATAGAGAAAATGCTGGAGCCCATTGTAAAAGATACAATAGCAGAGTGCTTGGAAAACAGTGACAGTATTGGACAGAGTCAGCATGGATTTCTGAAAAGTAAATCATTCTTGACCGATTTGCTGGAAGGATGAGAGGATATAAATAGTAGAGTTGATGAGAGGGAGCCAGTGGATGTGGTTTGCTTGGATTTTCAGAAAGCTGGCGGAAGACTCTAAAATTAAACCACGTGGGATTGGGGGTATATGTTAACATGTATGGAGAACTGGTTGGCAGGCAGGAAACTGAGAGATTATGAATGAACAGGTCTTATTTCTAAGTGACAGGTAACGACCAGTTGGGTATTGCAGCAATCAGTGCTAGGACCCCAGCTAAGTTGAATGAGTAGGCAAATGTATGGCAGATGATGTATAAGTGAATAACTGAGGGGCGTGGTAGCAAAGAACAGATTATTATCTGGCGATAGATTAGGAAAGGGGGAGACCTGGGTGACCTTGTACAGCGATGGCTAAAATAATGAGGCAGTGAAGAATGCAAGTTGTATGTCGGCCTTCATAATAAACAATTTGAGTACAGCGGCATGGATGTCTTGCTGCAGTTGTACAGGACATTGATAAGACTACAAATGCAATATTGCATGCAGTTTTGATCTCCTTATCAGGAAAAATGTTCTGGCTATAAAGGGTTTACCAGAGTGACATATGAAGAGAGACCGGATCAGTTAGTACTATATTCACTGGAGTTTAGAATAATAAGGGGGGAAATCTTAAAAAGCTTTAAAATTCTAACAATACCAGACAGGATGAACGCAGGAAGGATGTTCCTGAAGACTGGGGAATCCGTTTAATGATATGGAGTGTGTCACATAGGACTGAGATGGAGATTTCTTCACGCAGAGTGTGTTGAGTCTGGAATTCTCTGCCATAAAGAGTGGCTGAGTCCAAAACATTAAATGTTTCCTGAAGTAATTAGATCTAGTTCTTGAAGCTAGAAGAGTCAAAAGCTGAAGGACCTGTAGCCACCTTTTAAGGAAATCCAAGAATGGGCAGTGAAAACTGTAGTTGCCAGTGACATCCATATCCCACGGTTGAATTATCCTGCTTTAATTTTAACTGCACTGACTGCCAATATCTGTCATAATTTTATATGCAATGAATGTGTGCAGGGATGTTGTTTGCTGATGGTTGCCAATATCTTCAGTGTTAACGTTCGCAGGAGAATGCTCACACCCAGACATGTTTATTACCAAAATTGGTACTACTATTTCTTTTTTTTTTTTAAAAGGCTTTGTTTTCTCTTTCAGGCTCTGGAGCTACAGCTGTGGTTCAGGCTGCTTACTGTATCCCGAAGAAAGAGCGAGTTGCAATCAAACGCATCAACCTGGAAAAATGTCAGACTAGTATGGACGAACTCCTGGTAATGCACTGAAAAATGCAACAATAGTACAAGGAGGCTTGAATGGCCTTGACTGTTTGAAAATTTTTAAATGTAGTCACTAAGTAGTGGGGAGGCAATGGCCTAAGTGGTATTATCTCTGGACGGTTAATACGGAGGCTCAGGTACTGATCTGTGGACCCAGATTTGAATCCCACCACAGCAGATGGTGGAATTTGAATTCAATAAAAATCTGGAATTAAGAGTCTCATGATGACCATGAAACCATTGCCGATTATCAGAAAAACCCTTCCTTTAGGGAAGGAAACTACCATCCTTACATGTGACTCCAGACCCATAGCAATGTGCCTGCTGGGTAATTAGGGTTGGGCAATAAATGCCTAGCCAGCAATGCCGTCATCCCATGAATGAATTTTAAAAATGCTGAATCGATCAACAGCATCAATTTTAAAATAAAAAAAAAGTCAGAATGTGTATGGTGAAGACAGAACATTCTGAAAATATAACTGCACTGTCAGTATTTGGAGAGAAGTGAGGAAACTGAATCGCTGAGAGATCAATTAGTTACTTGAATGTGATGTGCCAAAGTGCTTTTTTTTTAAAAAACGACAGGATGGCTGGTACGGCATTACTTGAATAATGAGAGAATTAGTTTATTAAAATTCTGTTGTCAGCCGGGTTGTTAATTAGGAATTCTAGAAAAATATCACTGGAGACTTGAACAAACTGAGACAATTTGTACTAAAATAATTGGTTATTCACATTAACGCATGTACCACAAGAAAACATTTTTCAAATTTATAATGTTTCCAAGGTAATTCAATTAAAACCCTTAGCTTAAGTTCTGAATAATCTAGTCGGTTTAAATTCAGGCAGAACAGCTTTTCGTAATGTGTTCTTAACAGATTAGAGCTGTCAGATAACTTGGAGGGAGAAGTAATGCCATCGTAGCCCATTTCTCGTTATGTGTTGGAGTGCATGCAAGAGTGTACTTGTTGCTCTGCTGATTTTTAGGGTGTGTCTGTTCACGTTGTCCCTGGATAATTTAGGTGTGAACACATTTTTTGAATGATGTTCACAGTTTGTGTTGCCAAGAAGAAATTCAGACAGAAACCAAACTGATCTTTTGGTATCTGTAAAAAGAGCAGCTAAGGATTAACAAAATAAAAGTACTGTGGATGCTGGAATTTTTTGGTCAAATTGGAAAATGCTGGAAATATTCAGCAGGCCGCTCGACAGTTCTGGGGAGAAAAGCTGTTAAGGTCATCAACTAGAAACCTTTTACTAAAATCCAACCATAAGCATGACAGTCAAGCTTTGAGACTTGTCATTTTCTTTACTTATTAATGTAGCAACAGAGATTATGATCTGTAGTTGTTGCTGTCCATGTTGAAAGTCTGGAATGTACTGAATTGAAAGTTAGTGCTGTTCCTGACTATTTATTTTGTGCTTTCATTGGTAGAGTGTCTGTGGCCAAAGATACAAAGTGAAGTGGGGCAAAGAATTAAAATGATGCATGTAGTCCTCTTTCCAGCTAAAGAGTATCTACTGATGACATTGACTTCTAAAAATTTTCTAGTGCTGATCGTCCTGCTATAGATTTCCAGCATTTTTTCTGATTTCCAATATTTGCAGTATCTAGTTTTGCTTGTTTTTGACTGATTTGTTGCAAACTAAATGCTAATTGACTGGGCAGATAATCAGAATTTATTCTTTGATGGCTTTCATACTCTTGCTCTGATTTATCAACTTAACTTCCATCCTAAAATCAAATGAGACTTCTGAAAACAAAGATGTCTGGACAAAGTCGTTAAGAGAAACCATTCCCATTTGTGAAAGGGTTGAGAACTAGATTAGCAGAAGAATCATAAGCGACTTGCGGAAAGACTTTACGGTTCAGTATACACTGCCTGGGGATGTGCTGAGGGAATATTAAACTCTGGTCTTTCAAAAAATTACCTGAAGAAAAGCTTTGCTGCAAAGCTACAGGGAAAAAGAGATAGTTGAGCAGCTTTTTCAGAGAGCTGGCGGTTGTCCTCCATCTACACTCTAATCGTTCTATGATTGAGAGTTTAAATTCTGCTCGTGAACTTCAATACGTAATCATAGTTGAACCTTTAATACAACTGAGGAGTGCCACGATGATAAGTATTTTCATCCTTTGGATTAAATTCTGACTCTGACAATTGTCTAATTGCTTGAATGTAGATGATCTCTTAAAATATTTTTCAAGAATAGCATGGAACTAACCTAGTGCCACGACCAAAATCCATTTTTTACTGACACCACCAGAGCAGGTTGGTTGGTTGCTCTTTTCAGTGCTATTTGCGGGGAGCTTTTCTGTATACTAATGGTTGCATAAATGTCTGCGCTTCAGAAATAATTAATAGGATGTGAGACATTTTGGGCCTTGAGAGCCGCTAAATAAATACAAGTTCTTCTCTCTTTCTTCCAAAGGTGTTGACTGGAATCTGGGTCTTCAGGTGGCACTCGCACTCCAGCACCACATTCAAGTAACCATTATTTTTATATAATAAAAAAAACAAAAAATGCTGGAAACACTTAGGTCAGTCAGCACCTATACAGACAGAGAGACGGACAGTCAGATGATGTATCATTAGAACTAGTGAGAAGTTCTGATGAAATGTTGTTACCAGAAGCATGAATTGTTTCTCTCCCCGCAGCTGCTACCAGACCTGATGACTTAATTTCAGCATTTTCTGTTTTTATTTCTGATTTCCAGCATCTGGAGTGTTTTGACTTTGTACTAGAATTAGTTTAATATTGCAAAATGATATCCCTCCCTTCATCTCCTACAGCAAGGAATAAACCTGTGAAAACAGGGGCTTATAGATAGGACAAGAAAGATCAAATGAATTGAAAATTAGCTAGATGTGGTGTGATATGTATAGGTAATGCATTGCAGATCAGTAAACTGTTTTAACTGCACAACAACACCCTCCCTTCATGCAGAGTATACCTTTTTTTGATATGCTTTCTGCAAGCAGGGTAAATTAGAATTTCAGACCGCTGCTTGTGCCTGACATCAGAGGGTTTGAACGATGTCTATAAACAAAAGATTGATCTTTCTCAGTCTCTGCCATCCTGTGCCTCGTGTACTCCTTATGCTATTACATTGTGTTGCCTGAGTCACGTTATCTGCATCTGCTTTGCTGTCATACCCTTTTTCTTCTACCCTTCCCTGTGTTCCACCTACGGTGGCCTTGCTGCCATCTCTTTCTGTCCC